TGAACTTTATTTTCATCATCTGTACATAAGCTCTCATTTATCATCATCATCATCATCATCATCATCATCATCATCAGCGAGGAGATTCATCAGTCATCGAGGGGAGTGTGTTGCCACTTTTGCCGATCAAAGTCGACCTTGCCCCGGCGGAGCAGCGGTTCTTCCTCTTCAGCCCACTGGGTGATGCTAAAGAATCGGGGAAGAAGAAGGCCACCTCTCTGCTGCTCGCCGTCTCCACTGAATCGGAGCCGCGTGAGTGGCGTTTCGCGTGTCTGTCGCCCCGAAGCGGCCCCTGATGGTCGTCGGCTGTTCCAGGCGAGTTCTTCAGGAGAAATGTTCATCATCATCAGCATCAGTTTCAGCTGTATTTTCTTCTTCACATTCCCTCCACACCTGTACACTTTTGTCGGTCCCATCAGCGTCCAATGCATCGCGCAATGGCGTCGGTGCGAGCAAGTACGTGCACCGCACAGTCGCCGCTGCTGCTGCTCATGAAGGCCACCAGACGATTGTAGAAGAAACCTTGCCTGAGAGGGAGTAAGGCACAACGGGATCGATTAGAATCTCTTCTCTTCTGTTGATCATACAATCTGTACAAATCACTAACTTTAGTTTATTTTTCATTCTTTTGTTCACTTATGAATACGTATTTTCTGCAATAAAAATTCCTACTTACACACTTACCTCGGTGTTCGGCGTAAAACTCTTCGGCGTCGGAGGCGGTCAACTTTGCCCTGCTGGCGGAGCGGACGCAAAGTAGAAGCCATCGTCGAGGGCGATCTGGCGAATTGCCTGCAGACTGTAGGAGGGGTCCTTGACGATGTGCGGCCTGATGGTGATGGCCAGTGTCAGCTGCAGTGTCAGTGCCGGCTCACCTTCACCGGTGCCTGATGATGGAGCGGGACTGAAGGAGCGGGCAAGTGGCAGGGTGGCCACCAGGGCTCGACGACTGCCGCCTAAAGACCAGCCATTACTCATTAGCATAAGTGAGCTCTTCTCGTTGTGGTGGTCTGGCCTGGCCTGTGCCTGGTCGCCTAGGAAACCGACGACGACGACGACGACGACGACGGCTTGTGTGCTTAGCTGTCCGACTGCAGAAAGTCGAAGTTTGCTTTTGCTTGGCAGTGCCGATGATGCTGTTCCTGTTTCGGATGATGATGATGATGATTGCAGTCCACTGTTGTTTGAAACACTCCTGAAGCAATGAATGGTCAGCAGCAGCAGCAGCAGCAGCAGCAGCAGGAGTCGTCTGCCTCCACCACCACCACCACCACAACCTCCTCCTCCACCAGCACTCTTCTGCAGTCCCAGGTAGATCTGTAGGGGCGTTAAAGAGACAGCCGGCCGCCTCGTACGATCGCCTGCTGGAGACTGCTCGGATGATCAGAGCACTGGACGTCGGCAAGGACCTGGCCACGGTGGTCAAGATGGGTGCATCAGTTGAGAGTTGAAGAGGACTTTTGGGACTTTTTATCGTCGGTGGGGATGAATTTTGCTGAAAAACAACAACAACAAAAACATGGCAAGCGCAGTCAGTAGAGGACGTGCCAGTGCACTAGTTTTGAAGTTGCAGTGCACAGGCGTCAAAGTATTTCCAATCAAGGAGTTTATATGCAGGAGTTTTGATCCTTCTTCTCTTCAACGATGTTCATCTCGTCGGTGTCCACCAGTCCTTCATCAGCAGCGTTTGATTTTGTTATGGTTTCAAGCACTACAAAAAAGGTTTTAAAATTATCCCAAAACGCAAAAACAAAACAGGTGAAAGGAGTGAAACAACATCGTTGCCCACCTGTCCACCGCCGTTGAACTGCCCTCACTCACCTTTGCCATTGTTCTTCTGAACCGCTTCCGACCGGCAGCAGTGGTGTCTCGCAAGCAGACGGACCAGTTTAAGGCCAGCCTTCATGAACATCTGTCCCCCAATTTGGCAGCCTCAGGCAAAGATCGCCCCCCCGTTCACTACCGATGCTCAGCGGTTGAGCAGCCCCCGACACAACTTCTCCTTCCTGGCCGCCTCGATGGTCTTCACCTTGGGGGGGAGGGGGCGGGGAAGAGTCAGAGTCCACCTGCTGCGCCGACCAGCGTGTCCCAGAGGATCGACTCGATGTAGTAGTTGGTGCCGCCCACAATGACGGGCACCTTCTGTCGGGCGAGAATGTCGTCGATTGCCGCCAGCGCCAGTCGCTGAAAGTCCTGTACGGTGAACTGTTTGAAGGGGTCCACCAGTCCACCACTGAGAAGGTGATGTCGCACCTGGGCCTGCTCCTCAGTGGTGGCCTTGGCCGTGGCAATGTCCAGTCCGCGGTAGATTTGCATTGAGTTGGCGCTGATCACCTCGCCGCTGAAACGTCGGGCCAGCTCCAGTAAGAACTTCGTCTTGCCGGTAGCGCCAATGATCACAATCAGCGGCGCGTGCTGGTATTTGCTTTGGGCGTCTGCTTTCATTGTGGCTGCCATCCGTTTAGAGTTGATGCACTTTTTCAGCGTAGCGGCCCAAGGAAGAATCGGGAATTTGCGGAACATTCGGCCAGAGAGTTTGAAGTTTGTTTACATTTTTCCCTCACGTGTTTTGACCTATCCGCAGATGGTGTGACGCTTGTTGTGAGCTGCAGCAGCAGCAGGAGCGTGTGGGTTCTCTGTCAGTGAAGATCACTTCGAATTGCTGGACTGACCAGAACTGACCATCACCGCCCAACGATGATGTCGAAGGAGGTGGTGGAGTGATGAAGAGGAGCTCAGCTACAGCACAAGGCAACAGCAACAGTCCTTTTATTTTTTTCTTGTGTGAGCAAGTCATTAAAGCACAACTGAAATTNTTTCTTGTGTGAGCAAGTCATTAAAGCACAACTGAAATTGAAAGATGCATTTACAGTCAATCTTTCACACTCAAGTCTGCAACCACTTTTCAAGATTAAGTTTAATGGCAGTTGCACTGATCATTTCCGCCACTTGCCATCCCATTAGCTTTTTCTTTTGTTTTCACTTCTCTATGATCTCGCTACTCTCTTCTTTTTAATTAGATTTTGCTCTGGTTTGGCAGCCCTCTGCCTGCTGCTTTTGCGTTTGTTTTGATTCTCCTCTCTCACTTGCACTGCCTGCAACAGTCGCAAACATTTTCACCAGCGGACGCACGC